TGGCCTTTGTTCAGGGCTCTATCTCTCCCACATAGCTAGGTCACCATTACTGTGAATAATGAACCTTCCACAGTGGTTGCATGTATTTGAATCAGCATTATCTGAAATTAAAAATTTGTAACATGGTAGTTGTTTTCGTCCATATGAAATTATACAGTGAGAATTCAAATAATACAACTCATTCAGAGAAATTATTATTTATACTAATTGGGACAAATTGTATATGCTTTTTTCCTTTTCAAGAGTCCTTACTTTCAGGGGTATAGTCTACTTTTGGGATATCCTCTATTTTTGCTAGTAGAGTCTTGAAGAAACCCAATTTAACTCTCATTGAGATACTGGTGTAGGTTTTTAATGGAACAATATCTTTCCATAATGGAGAGGAGACCTATCTTTGGAGTCTTTGAACATTTTACCTACTTTGGAATGGTGGGATTTTTATTCTTGAGAGGCAAGTCAGATGGATAGTGAATAGAAAAGCAGCCTCAGAGGAAAATCTAGGTTCAGGTCTTGATTGGTTTTGTGACTTTAGGCAGGTGACATTATGTCATAATGCCCCAGGCATCTCTAAAATTCTTAAAGTGGCAGAGCAAGTGCTGATCTGCTTTGGTGAAGGGAATTTCCTTCCTGGGAGTTCCTTATATCAATGAAATCACAGGTCTTGTTAAAGAAATCACATGACACTTTACAAAGTATTTTTCTCATAGCAACTTTATAAATTGGCTTATAGAAAGATATTTTCTCCATTTTATTAATAAAGGAGCTAAGATCTAGAGAGAGAAGGTGACTTTTCTATTTCTAAGAACAAGGGGTAACCACTGGACAGCTACATGCTCCATTGGTCAGTCAGTCAGTCAGTCCATATATATATATATATATATATATATATATATATATATATATATACATACACACACACATATGTATATATTTTTTTTTCGTTAGGCAATGGGGTTAAGTGACTTGCCCAGGGTCACACAGCTAGTAAGTGTTATGTGTCTGAGGCCGAATTTGAACTCAGTTCCTCCTGAATCCAGGGCCGGTGCTGTATCCACTGCGCCACCTAGCTGCCCCTCAATATATATTTATTAAGCAACCTACTATGTGCCAGGCATTGTGATAAGTGTTGGGATACTACTGGTATCCATGAAATGACAAGAGGAAAGCCTCTAGCACATTGTTGGTTTGATGCCTTCTGCAGATTTGGGGGAGGACATGAATAAGAGTCAGAATGTGTTGTGAACAGCATTGTTGAAGGGAGTACCTGCATAGAGATGACCAGAGATGTATCAAAGGGTAACAACAGAGCCAACATTTGAATCTAGGCCTCCTGACATGAAAGCCAATACTCTCCCTCCTCCCTCACTGATCTGCCTTTATGACTCTATCTTGTAATTCAATCATACCAGAATCCTTGGATCACTTTCTAGCTCTCTGCCTCATACTGGCCAGTGAGGCCAAGCCTGAGGGTTCCTTGCTTTCGCCTGTATCTCATGTAATTTAGAACAAATAGGCATTGACTCCCCTTTCTCACCCTGTGATGGGTTTTCATGTCTTTCAGGCTCTGCTGAGTTAAGCAGTTCCTGTAAAGTCTCTCTGTGGAATTGTGGGCTGCAGATTGCTTGGCCTTGATTGGTGTGTTTGAAATATAGTGGAAGCATTAGCGGGTTTGCAGGAGACTTTTCCTATGGCTGTTTTTTTCTGTCAAGTTTCTTAATGGTCATTCTATCAAAGAAAGAAAAATATCTGTCATTTTCCATCTGATTGTGGCAATGGATGGATGATTTTAGGTTGGTCAGCCTATTTGTAGTATAGTCAGTGTGTGGGGGTGATTGGCTTATATATTTATTTAGCTCAGTTGTGCTCAGGAAGGGCCTTCTCTGGGGTGGAAAGTACATTTAGGAAATGTGAAATACCACTGTAGGCACAGTGTCCATGGTTGGTTTCTCCATGGGAGACCCTGTCCTCATGTCAGCCTATGCTATTTTATGTTATCTACTTTAGGCCAGGTAATATTTTTGCAATAAAATCTCTTTAAGACAGCCTAGTGCTGTGTGTCTCCTGATGGTTAGTCCTCTGGCAATTTGATTTCCAGCCAGGTGGTTGGGGCCCTTGCCAGCCTGCCTGACAAGCTCAGGTATGTCTTGTCAACCGCTGATTGCCCTGACTGACTAGTTGATGGCTGACTGTGTCTTCTGTCATAGGAGAGTGTTGTGCAAATACTGTCCTTACAGGATTATCTGAGGCTGTAGAATTAAGTCGAATGGTCCTTTTTTATATGTACACTTCTCCCTTCCTTTCCCAGTTCTTTGCTAGAATATGAGCTTCTTATGAGCAGAGACTGTCTTTTACCTTTCTTTATACCTTTATCACTTAATACAATGTTTAACCCAGCAGGCACTTGGTAACTGCTAGTTGACTGCTAGAGAAAACTTATCTTGTTCTTTGCGGTTGCTTTACATTGAGCTTGCACCTACCCTTATTTGTATGACAGAGTACCAGATTTGGAGTCTGAATCCTCCATCAAATCCTGGCTTACATATTTTTTATCTGTGTGATCTTGGGCTGGTCACTTAACTTCTCTGGGGCTCAGTTTCCTTATTTGTAAAATAAGGGGGCTGGACTTGATGAACTTCAAGGTTCCTTCCAACTCTAAATTTATGACTATGAAGTATTTCTCCAAGTGATGAGGTGGTATAGTGAACTGACCCTTAGGCTAGAATTTAAACAGTGTAGGTGCTAATCTCAGCTTTGATAATACCTATATAACCTTTGTCCAGATACAATCTCCTCCCTGAGTTTCAGTGTCTGTAAAAAAACAGAAGTAGCCCAGTTGCTACTTCTGATGTGAGGCCTTTTCTGAGTTCTTATTACTCTTTCCACCTCTTGAAATTACTTTGTATTTACTTTTCTGTGTTAATGTTCCCTGTCCCTATAGGGACTTTGTACCCCACCTGCCCAGCGTGATGCACTGCATATAGGAGGTGCTGAATAAATACTTTTCACATTGAATTGATTGGATAAACATAAAGTTTTGATGAGGAAACAATTGGATTTTAAGCACACATACTTTGGTAGAAAAATAACTGTCAAGGATGGAAGCATTTTGGAGTACTCACCTTCCTTATTATTTCAAACCATTTTGTACAATGTAAGTAATACTACTTTATGTACTTGGTATATGTGTGTGCACACTTATATGTGTACATACATATATTTATCTGACAAGTATGCATACAAATGTGATTGTCTCTTTGCAGAATAGCTTATCAGATGTATATGTGTAAATATATACATATGCATCTTTTGCATATATACACATACATCTTTTAAATGTCTATATGTCTACACACACATATCTGACAAGCTATACTTCAAAGAGACAATCACACTTGTATGTATAGCTTGTCAGATGCATATGTATATACACACAGGAATCTAGAAGATCTGATGTACACATACATATGTAAATTATATAATATGTATAATGTACATGGCATGTACAATATTATGTCATATATGTTACATATCATTTATAAAATATGTATATACATATCTTACATTGTAAGATATTATACACACACATATACATCTGACAAGCTATACTACAAAGAGACAACCATATTTGCCTGTTAAATCCATAGGGAAGATTATAAATGTCAGTCACTGGAAATCTAGTTCAACCTTAAGGTAAAGTAAACCAAATTATCTTTGTCATATGAATATACTTAATACATCCTAAAAGTATAGCACAGGGCTCAGTATAGTACAAATCTTAAACTACTGAGCATATTATAGTATTGATTAAGATTGTATAGATCTAGATCATGTAGATGGCATTCATATAGTTACTACATATTTATACATGTCAAACTCTTACCTCCCTTACTGGATTGTAAACCACATGAGCATAGGAGTCAGTCATATCTTAATTATTTTTGTAGTTTCTCTTGTCCCTAGCAGAGTGTTTTGCACATAATGGGTACTTAGTAAATGATCATTGAGTGAAGGCAGGAATAAAAAGTCAAGCTCTCTAGCCTTACAAAGCTTACACTCCAAAGGAGACAATACAGATGTGGACATAAGTTGAGAAGACTTTTTGTAGCCAAACACTATAACTAAGAGATTAAGATGCATTTAACATTCAAGGGAAAAAAAGGACAAAAGAATTGCTCTTCTAGCTGGCTATTGCATGGCAGAAAGTGTTTCACATGTAATATACAAGAATTATTGAAATGCCTTAATTATCTAATCATTAAAGTGAAGGCTTTGGATTGGATGGTTTCTGAAGTCCATTCCAGAACTAAATCTATAGTTCTATAATCTGGTATGGTATATATATATTTTCATTTTGGAAAATTTATAGCTAAATTTTCAGTGATTATAGACAAAAGAGCCTTATATATAGTATAGGATGATCATCTTTGCACCTTTCCCAGCTGTAGAATGTGGTTGTGGGACTTTAATGAGGGAAAATGAGAGAACTTTAGAATTGCGATTGCCATATCCCTATCTTTAGGCTAGATAATACCTAAAAAAGGTTTTTACTAAATAGGATTTGGAACTGGGAAAGACCTTAGAGATTATTTAGTCTAATTCCCTCATTTTATAAATGAGAAAGCCTCTGGTCATGAGGATCCATCCTATTTGGACAAATCTCTAGAAGGTTTCATAGATTGCCTCAGCAGCTTCTTCAGACTATCAGTTTCTGTAAGTAATGACTTCATGAAAGCCCTTTTTGTCTCACTGCCCTTAATGGTGCTTCCTGCAAAGACTGAGGATGGTGGTCAAGCATATTTGCTTTCCGTGTTATTACGTCCTTCTGTCCTGGTCTGATGGTCAAAGCCATTTGAAACACCAGCCCCATTGAATTTTTCACCATTTAGTTTTAATTGTGTCTGTCAAGTTAGTGTTCCAGGGAGATATTTTTGTTAGGATTCTTATAAAAGATATGTTTAAGATATTCTGAACTTCCATTTGACACATATTTTGTGTTTTAGAAGGTATGCTGAATTTGAAAAGATCCCAAGAAGAAAGAGAAAAGTAAGTATTAAAAAATTCTTAGAAGTACTTATCATTATCATCATTATAATCATCATTGTCATTACCTAACTATCTCAAATCTATCTGGCTACTTCAGGAGAATCACTAAACATTTTGGTTAAACAGATGGACAAATAGCCAACTTTTTGTTATCAACAGTTTGTTATCAGAACAAGTTACTAGCTTAGCCATTGTAGGATTAAGTAGGCTGAAATCTACTCCATGTTCATCCTTATCCCTCAAAATGGGCTCCTGTCATTGTAGTTTTACTAGTTCCATCTAATATGACCTTGAGGAAAACTTGGTGGTTAGAATGGAATAGATTTTCGTGGTCAAGGCTGTGTTGATTAAAGGATTACAGAGAGAGAAACAAATGTGCTAGTCAACTAAGTCATACTTTAAGATCTCAAACACACCTGATTTCCTTGCATTGGTATTCCTTCTACTGATGACATTGCAAACTCTTTAGTGCCTTAACATATGTACATGGTTTTATGAGTTGCTCTGGCCAAAATAATTCTTCAGTCAATGAACCTCCCCATACTTAGCTAGACTGATCCTTGCACAGCAATTGTATAGTCTATAGTCACACATACACTTAAAGCTTTTCTAGCACATTAGGACCTTCCAGAGCTTGTGCTCACTCCAAAAACTTTGAGGGTCCAGGGTCACCCTTGCACCAGGAGATGGCAACAGAAGGAGAAATTAATAGAATTTAAGTTACACTATAGATATTTTATGAAGAAGAAGAATGTTCTGGAAATATACAGTATGGAAATGTACATGGTCATATTCTAAGACCTAGCCCAGGCACCATCTCCTCCATGAAGCTAATTGTCAGTGTTAGGCTAAACTTACGCATTATGCGTATTTGAGCTCTGGGATAGTCGAAAGGTCAGTAGTTTACTTTGGTATATGGCTTAGCAAATCCTGGGTGCTAGGTCTCCATGGTACTTAAAAGTTTCATTGTGGTGGCTAGCATTTTTGACAGAATCTTATCTGAATCTACAGAAGAGCACACCACTCTTAAGTCCACAGAACTAACTGTGGCCATTCACAGAACCATAGACTTTCAACCCCATACCTGAACAGGAATCCCTTTGATAACATCTTTAATAAGTAATCATCTGTCTGTGTGAAGACCTCTAGTGATGGAAAACCCACATCCCTTGAGGAAGCCCATCCACTTTTAGACAGCTCTAATCATTATCAAGTTTTTCCACAATTTTTAAGCTTAAATCAGCCTCTCTGTAATTTGAGAAATGACAACAATCATGATAGCTAACATTTGCATGTTAGAATTTTTATGTTACATGTTAGAGCTTTAAGGTTAGCTGACCACTTTACAAATGAGGAAATTGAGGCCTAGAGGATGTTATGTGACTTGCCAATGGTCACAAAGATAGCAAGTGTCTAAGATAAGATGGAAAATCAGTTCCTATTCCCTTTGAGTTCAAGGGACCCTAGAGATCATCTAGTTTAACCCTCTAAGTTCATAGATGAAGAAACTGAGAAGTAAGCCATTTAGGGTAACAATGACTTGCCTAAAATTATATAGTTAGTAATTTGAAGAACTCATACTTTGAACTAAGATATCCTGATTTCAAATTCACTCTTCTTTTCATCAAACAATTTCTTTTATCAATTATTCCCAGCTTTATCCTCTCAAGGCTTTGACCCTAGGGAAACCCTTAGAGGCTAACTTAGGAGACTTTTCAGAAGGCCAGGTTCCACCATGACTAATCTCTTAGAGTTGGATTCTGCAACCTGGATGGGGAGGAGAAGGAAATGGATGGGGTTGAGAGGGGGCTTCCACTGGCTCTACCTATGGACCAGGAAACATCAAATTCAGATATGCTCAGCTCTCTCTTTGAAACTTTTCAGAAGCTCCTTATTGAGCTTTTTGTAGACCTAGACCCTCAGTGTCTTTAGTTTGAGTTTTGGTTTAGGTTTGGGAACCACTACCACATGGCAACTTGCTCCCATTACCACACTTCTATTTTTAATTTTCTCTTTCCTGAAGAATTCATTTGTCTTAGAGATCCAAAGTGAATATCTCAAACTCTATACACTACACTAAAGATTGTGGCTGCCAATTTTCAAGTGTCTTTGTGGGATATGTCACACCAAATCTGATGAAAAATTAAAAAAACCCAGCTAGAGCAAAGGTTCTTAATCTTTTTTTGAGTCAAGGACTCCATTGGTTGTCTGATGATATCTATAGATTGTTTTTCAGAATAATATTTTGAAATAATTGAAGGAAATTCTAAATTTCAGTTAGAGGTTAGTGAAAATAAAGATGTATTTTTTCCCACCCAAGTTTACAGATCTCCTCAAATCTCTCTAGTGATCCTTTGGGGCTCCATGAGTCACAGGTTAAAAATCTTTGCTCTAGGGAATGGAGAGGGTTGTGGTGCTAAGCCAAGGTGATCTCTGAATGGGCTCCTCTTTATGGGAAGTCTTGTGTGTGCAGAAAAAGAAGGCATATGGGAAGAGATATCAGCTGATATTTCTATGGCTCCCTATGTCTTGAAGATTCTCTGTGAAAATGTTGACATTTTGGGATTCTGAATTGCAGCAACAGAAAAAAAATGTTTTCAGTTCCCATGCAAAGTCTAGATGAAAATATTTAGTTAAAACCAATTTTGATCTTTCTTTGCAAAAATCACAAATGTAACATTTGCTAAATCTAGATGGCCTTTCTATGCATTGTTTGCTTTTAGCATTATACAGATTTTATGGGAAGATATAGCCCAATGCAGTCCTTTGGTAATATGAATCTAACATCATCACCAAGCATTCTTTTATGAATAAAACAATAAGATACCCCTGAGGGCTAATGCTTGGATGCACTTAAACTGGATAAAATTTTGCCCTCAAGTGAATGATGACACCTCTTCCTCATAACTATTTTTGCTGCTGTCATGTTAACTAAGTGAATAGAATTGGAAGGAGATGACCAGGAATCAGATTTCTGAAGTGTAAGACTGTGGGAAAGAGCTCAAGACATATAACTAATTAAATGTAGTAGAATTTGATGAAGAAGAGGATAAAATGAGGAGTTAGGCACCTTGTGGAGAAAATGAGATGTAAGAAGGCTTTTTAGAGCCAGTGTGCCATAATACATAGGTAACTGTCCTCTGAGACAAGATAAGACCTGGGTTCACATCTTATTTCTGACACTTACTGGCTCTGGCTAGTCACTTTTTAGTATCTCAGGCAACTCTAAGACTACACATTTCAGAATAGTTGCCAACATGCATTGGTAGAAAAACAAAACAAAAACTTAGAACAGATGACCTCAAATTGAATTCAACAAATTCTTATAAAGTGCCTATGATGTACCAAAGCATTTTGTGCACTGTATTAGGTGCTGGAGGATACAAAGACAAAAATAAAAGTTTCTCTATCCTCAAGGAGTTTACAATCTCTTAGGAGAAAGAAAGTAGTACACAGAAAAGTAAATACCAAGTAATTTGGGGGTGGGTTGGGGGAGAGCACTAACGACCAGGGGAATGAGAAAATGCCTCGTGCTTTATTTATAGCTTCTACTTGCACTGAACTAGCATGGCTAGGTGAATAGTGTGCTGGACCCTGAGTCAGAAAAACCTGAGTTCAAATGTGAGCTCAGACACTTACTGGCTGTGTGACCTTGGGCAGCCACTCATCCTCTGTCTGTGTCAGTTTCCTCAACTGTAAAAAGGGAATAATAACAGCACTTACCTCATAGGTTCTTGTGAGGATCAAATGAGATAGTATTTGTAAAGCATTTACATAGTGCCTGGAACATAGTAAGTGCTTAATAAATACTTATTCCCTTCCTCTTTCCCTTCCCCCACACCGTTAGTCTGGTTGCTAGAGGATTGTTTACTTTCATATTGTCAAAGATACAGCTTCTCTATGAGATCACACATGTAGAGATGGAAGGGACCTCAAAGGTCATCTAATGTAACCTCATTTTTTAAAGTAAGAATACTAAGCCCCAGAGAAAGTAAGGCTTGCCTGAGGTCACACACATGCTGTGTGGCAAGATTTGACCTAGAGTCCCCTGACCTCAAATCTAGTGTGCTCTCCACTGTACTATTCTGTGATGTGGTCAGTGTGACTCTTCCCTCTACCATTTGAAATCATGACTTCATGTCTTGGTAGAGAATATTCATGAGTTATTATGGCAAAACATTGTAATATTGGTTGAATCATGAAGTCATATTTAGCAAGCAACATCTAAGACTGAATATGCTGATGGTTGGTTCTCTGTTGAAGAGACAGCTAGACACATAAATCACTGAGACTCAGAATGCCAGAGGAAGATGGGTGATATAGCCTTTTATTAGTGAAGTAGTTGACAATCAGACATTCCTTTTAGCTCAAAGCTATCAAAGTCGTACTTAAAGAAGGACTTAATAGGTAAAACGGGTTTTGAGAATGAATTTGAATGAAGCAGCTAGAGTATAAGAAGAATAAGAATGCCTCATTGTTGATAAATATTTTTTATTCTTTTGAAGCATAGGTACTATTTTCTGTGACTGGTCTAGGGTAGGTGGGGCTTTGCTAGAAGAGGTGATGGGGTGAGTCAACAGTCATTTATCTTTTTTCTAGCCCACCTCTACAACCAAGCTTGACTTAACACTACATGTCCCAGATAATAGTAGGAGCTGTGATAGTTGCTCTTCTGACCATGAGTGAGTGAGAGTAAGAGGGAGAGGTGGTATTCAACCAGAGTTGGACACTGATGGAGTCTGGTCTGAGGCTAGGACATTCTAACTTAGATTTGGTGGGGATGTTGAAATTGAGGCATTCATAGTGGCAGGGGAGCAAGTAGCTAGGGCCATAGTGCTCTTATGAGGTATGCTTTAGGAGTTAGGCTAATACCTGGAGTCCTAGTTATTCTTGGAAGGATTGCAGAGGCATAAAGCCTCTCAGCTAAGAACCTTGCCTCATATTTTACAGAAAAATATTGAGGCCATTTACTGTGAGGCCCCTCTTTTTCCCTTGTCCTC